GGTTGGTTTAATCTAAATTTTTAATTAAATTAAAGTTAAACACTTATTACACAATCGTGAATGATAAAATTTGTAATTTAGCAAACGAGATAATATATTTTGGTTTCAAATTTGTTTAGGATGAAGAGCCAAAGAGAGATCTGAGGAGTAGAGGGTTGTGTCTGGTTCCAGTGTCCTGCACCCTGCAAGTTGGGAGTGACAATGGAGCAGATTATTGGGCTCCGGCGTTTGGTGGCGGTGGCAGTTTCCGGTAGACGGTGGCGGCGGCCGAAGAATTTGAATATAGGGCAGTTGCAGCAAATCTCCAGAGAGTAGAAAGAGAGAGAAGGCTACATTATGAAACTGATATAACATCATGAGCAGTCAATCTGCTAAAAGAAACCAAAGGCTGATTGCTCATGATGCTATGCAAACATAATCAAGGAAAAAAAAAAGTATACAAGAATTGCTGTAGCAGAATGCTTTCAAAATCTAATTTCTTCTCGGTAATTGTACTGGTTTTTAACTTTAGTTATGATTAAAATGATAATTATTATTAATATTTTTATTTAACTTTATTTTGTTTCTCCTCTTGGCTGCTCTCTCACTTCTTTATGTATATGCATTTGTATATGTAAATGTAGTGTTTAGGAATGTGAGATTGATCATTCTTAAATTGAATGGCAGCTGCTTGATTATTAATAATATCTATATTTTGTAGTACTGAAATTTGGGTTCACACGGGTTTATTTCAAAGGAATAATGAGAACGAAAAATTGTAAGAATGGAATCAACTAGTGGGACTCACTCTAAAGTCTAAACTTTGTAATTGTGTGATATTTTAATTAAAAAAAATTAATACAATAATGTATTTATAATTGGTTAAAAACAAGAAAGTAGTATATTAGTAATTATTATATATATATCTGATTCCCTATTTTGATTTTAAATAGTGTTAGTAAACCACATCAAATGATTTCATAAACATTTTAGTCTGATTGTATGTAACTTATAAAACGAGGCCTTTAATATGTATTTTCTCTACTTTAATTTATTATCTCATATCCTTTTTGTCACAAATATAATCCAATTCTCTAATAATTTCTTGGCCTAATATTTTGCATATACGTGTGTATAACATGGTTATCAACTATATCACTAGATCAGGATATTGATTAACACTCGATTGAGACACATCAATTAAAGTGGCTAGCCACCTTTGAAATAGTGTGTAACAACATTCTAGAATTGAGAATCAGTATTATAACTTTCTAGATTACTTTTGAGATTGAAGACTATGATCTTCACATGAAATTGAATACATATAAGCACACTTTAGTTGAATACTTCTTAGAACAACATCTTCCTAACTTGAAAATAATGCACATTATTAGTACTCGTAGTTTAGCATTGTAGCATAATTGTGCCCTTTTTTATAGAGAATTTATTAATATAAATAATAGCTACCTCCTAATCGATCGATATGAATTGTACTACGGACCACTATTTAAAAATTTGACAGCTAAAAGAAAATATTTTTCTTCTCTCCCCAACATACTATCATTGCTGATGAGATTTTCAAGCTAAATATTATTTTTTATTAAATAGGTAATTGACCAGACAAAAATGAACAAAAGAAAAAATAAAATAATAATCTGATTATATATATATATATATTCTGTTTCAAAAGTTTCTTCATAATTTTTGAAAATTAGAAATGAAAAACACTACCCTAATCCTCAAAACCTAAAAATGGAAAAGGAAAAAAAAATCTCCATTGACATATTAAAAGAAATTAACATATATAAAAGGTCATATTCTTGACACAGGAATCCAAGTGAGGTATGAGATGAATACTATTAAAAAACCAACACAATTTTGGTAGCAACAGCGCCTAGGCTTTGATATTTCCCTTTTAGATGGGGAATAATATAATACATTCATATTCACTTTTCTTTTTCCGTTTTTTTTTTGAGAAAATTTCACATTCACATTTCGATACATCTTTCATATTTATGCATATAACCGCCCTTGCAAACATTCCAAAGAATAATAGACAAGAGCTAAATTCTATACCAATTTTAGAGTTATATATTTAATTACGTTACCTTCTCCAATAAAATTCATATCTTCAATGGAGGAAAAAGTAATACTTTATGTGGCAAATTTTTCTCTCTTTTTCTAATTTTAAAGTATTAATATGATTTTTTTTTTTTTTTTTGGGGTTTATAAAGATGCCATTTTAGCTACCTTGACTTGGGCTTCCAGCATCAGTTCCTTTAGGGTGTGTTTCAGTATGGCCCAGTTTTATCCCTTTGGAATTGACAAGCCGAGCTTTAAGGAATTGGGACCTCAAAAAAGTGTGAAAAAAAAGAGAGAAACAAGACATCTTTTTTTCTTTCTTCTTGTTGTTCTTTCTTTCTTCTTTGTTTTGGGTTTCCCTCTCTTTTTCATTTGCTGCAAGTGAATAATGCAGCCATAGAGATGGCTCCAAAATTGATGAATTTGAATTAAGCTCAAAAACTGGAAAATCCCATTAGGAAAAGACACAAACTTGACGAAATAATTGATAGGATTTTGCAGTTTTTGCATCATTTCTTCTCACAAACCACTACTCTCTGCCTTTGGCACTTTGTTTGCAGCTTTGCTTCTTCACCCAACACAAAAGCAACACTGCTTTCACAACTTAGCTCTGCCCATCTCCACTTTGGTCGATAACGATTTTATTTTTTAAGCAGCTTAGAAGTTAAAATTACTATATCAAAGAAATAAATAAACCATGAGAATTAAAGAAAATTACAAAGATAGAATATGATTTTTTTTAAATAGTTTAGAAGATATTGGAAGAAGTGTAAAAGTGGTGGACATAAGATTTAAATGAATAATATATAATGGAAGAAATATAAAGTTACCTATATAATATTAGAAGAATGAGACATAGTTTGGCCAATTTGATAAACATTAGTAAGAGATTGAAATAGTCAAGCCACCTTCAAATTGTTATAACTCTACAATAATTCTACCATTAATTGATTAATTAAACTGACCTACTAAGCTATCAAAATTTATTGTATAATAGCTTGGTCCAAACCCACAGATGGAGGCTTCATTGATTTGAGGTTAAAATGTAGTTTTGGTTCTCATGTTTAAGAGGGGATTTTTTTTTTTTTTCTTTCAATCCTTCCCATTCTAATAAGCTTCAAATTTAGTTCTTTTAACCTTGAAATATTTGATATACAAGTGGATATATATCGTGATTTTGAATATACGGATATAAGGAAAATGAATCTTTTTGAATGAGTAAATTAAGGTGTTGAAGGAGTGAATTAAGAGATTTGAATTGAAAATTAGTATGGAGCCCACAATAATTAAAGGATTATAATAATAATTTATGGAATTAAATCTTTTATATTTCAAAAAGCAAATAACTATAATAAATGTAAATGCAATAAATAAGAGTAGGATCTGAATTAAGATAAAATCCTACATGCAGAAATCTGAAAGTGTAAAATTAGAAAATTTTAGACGTAAATAAGTTTCTAAAACAGCCCTCCGAAGACATTATCTCATCAAATTATGTCACATGTTTCTCTTATGTTCGTCCGATGAAATCAGCTAATTGGATTAAAACACATGAAGAGACTGGGCCCAAGCCTATGACCCATATAAGACCTACCAAAATTCTATAAATAGAGGGTCACCCCTCATTTGAAGAAAAAGAAAAAAATGATTGGGGAAGAGATCTAGAAAAATTGGAGATTCAGAGCACTTAGAATTGTCTAACACGCTGCAAAGTCGAAGAAATTCAACAAGCTGCAAAACCAAAGAACTTCACAAGCTGCAAAGTCGAAACACTTCACAAGCTGCAAAGCCGAAGAACTTCACAAGCGCAAAGTCGAAAACTTCAAAGATTATTCAATAAGTTCAAAGCCGAAAACTTCACAAAGTCTTCATCAAGCTACAAGCCAAAGAACTTCATCAACAAGTCAAAGTCTTCAACAAGCTCAAAGTCGAAAACTTCAAAGATCCTTTGACAAGCAATAATTAAGCTAAAGGCATCAACCATTTATTCAAGAACAAGCTCACGAGCCCTTGAATTAAAGTTAAATTAATCAGAGGATTATACATTAGAAATTGTAACACCCACATACATAAATACACAAATTCATTAATTCGAGTTTTCTCTTCGTTGAATTTCTCATTGAACAGTTATATATATCTAATTCCCTATTTTGGTTTTAGATAGTATTAGTAAACCAAATCAAATGATTTCTAATTCTGCTTCCAATTAAAATTTATAGTAAGCAACATAGGAATAACATTTTATTCCAATTGATTTCCATTTCGGTTGCATGTAACTAAAGCGAGGCCTTAATATACATTTTCTCTACTTTATTATCTCATATCCTCTTTCTGTCACAAATATAATCCAATTCTCTAGCAATTTCTTGGCCTCATATTTTGCATATGTGTGTGTAACGTGATTATCAACTATATCACTAGATCAAGATATTGATTAACGCATGATTGAGACACATCAATTAAAGTGGCTATCCACCTTTGAAATAGTGTGTAACAACATTCTAGAGTTGAGAATTGGTATTATGACTTTCTAGAGTACTTTCGAGATTGAAGACTATGATCTTCACATGAAATTGAATACATATAAGCACACTTTAGTTAATACTTCTTATGACAACATCTTCCCAACTTGGAATTACTCTAGGCCACATACACTTTGTAGAGCTTCTATCAATTAGTTCTTGATGAAAATAGTGCACATTATTGGTACTCGTAGTTTTTCATAAGCATTGTCGCATAATTGTGCTCTTTTTAATAGGAAATTTATTAATATGAATAATAGCTACCTCCTAATCAATCGATATGAATTATACTAACTATTAAAATTTTGACAGTTAAAAGAAAATATGTTTCTTCTCTCTCCAACATACTATACCTTTCAAAAACATATTTGCTGATGAGATTTTCAAGCTAAGTATTATTTTATTATGTTTTATTAAATAGGTAATTGACAAGACAAAAATTAACAAAAGAAAATTTAAAATAATATATATATATATATTCTGTTTCAAAAGTTTCTTCATAATTTTTTAAAATTAGAAATGAAAAACACTACCCTAATCCTCAAAACCTAAAAATGGAAAAGGAAAAAAAATCTCCATTGACAAATTAAAAGAAATTAACATCTATCAAAGGTCATATTCTTGAGATACAAATCCAAGTGGGGTATGAGATGAATACTATTCAAAAACCAACTCAATTTTGGTAGCACTTTCCTCCTGCTGTCCCTCCTCTCTGTCGTTATTTACTTGGTTCGTCATCGCATGCGTCATACTCATATCCACTTCCTCCTACCAACTTCGCAGCCAACAAGACGCCGACGGTGGTCCACTCGCCATCCGCCGCCCATTCCGCCTCCGTCAACCCCGCTGGCCTCCGCAGTTCGACTCTTTCCTCATCCCCATAATATTATCTCTCTCTTAAAGGTTAAAACTCTCAGACCAATGCTGCTCTTTCAGCAAACAAATCTCTCTGTTTCGCTATCCTAGTTTGTTCTTACCTTTTTTTTTTCTAAGATGTAAGAACTGTGTGAATTTTACGGGTGTAATCGACCATTATTTGCATATACTTATCAAACACAACTCTATAAAGTCTTAAATACTTTTCACTTTGTTCATTTTAAATCTACGTAATTTCAAAATTTCTTTTTTAAGGGGAAAAACAGCTATGGCTTCTCGTTTCTAGGGGATCGAGCACAAACCATCGCTTTCACTCCCACTTGGATCCTAGCTGGTAATTCAACTTTCTGGGCTGCTTCCAATCACCTTAGACTTTATCAAACCTTGATTCTCCATCTCATTAACAAATTTCAAAACCAGAAGGCACATGCCACCGACACTCCCCATCTCCTCAAGTTACATTGATAGGTTTGTGAAACAGCTCTGAGAGTTTTGCTTGGGGAGAAAGAAGAAAATGGAAAGCCATCTGAAGGTGGTGATGGTGATGGTTAGTGTGGTTCTAATGGTGTTGGAGATGAGCCTCATGGCACAGGCAGCTGTTCCTGTGAGTCTTTTGAAACAGATTGATAGAGTAAACAAGAATGGTCCTTATTTGGGGATAGTGGTGCCTAATTCCTTTGAATTGAACCCTCTTCTTCAATCTCCAAACCTTGTGGTTGATCACACTCTTCCATCCTTGGATATTTCAGGTTTGGCTAGTCCTCATATATATTCTTTCATTCAACAAACAACCGTTGATATCTTTTGTTTTCGATTCTATAGGACGACGGTTTCGATTTGCAAGTGTAAAAGGCAAGAGGGTTATAGTTGTGCTGACAGGACTAAGCATGGTATGCTTATGTAGATCTTGATAATACATTCTTTTTTTGGTTTATTTAATTTGAAAGACAGTAACATGTTCGATAACTTTTTCGAAGAGATTATAAGAATAGAATGAAAAAATAGTCATTGATCAAGAATTTAAGAAATTGGAAACAGACGTGGAAACATCACCTTTTATGTCTTCAAGATCAATAAGCTTCATTATCAATATAAACAGTTAACAGAGAAAAAAGGCTATCAATACATTTTAATTTACAAGAAAAGAGACAAGAGAACCTGATTGATGGGGCGAACGAGTAAACTTCCAACCTATGAGTAGCTTAATGCAGGAACAACCACACAGCTGCTTCTGACTCTGTTTAGAGTAAAGGGTGTGCTTCATTATGGAATAGCAGGAAATGCAGATCCTCAGCTTCAAATTGGGGATGTAACCATTCCTCAATACTGGGCTCATACAGGCCTCTGGAATTGGCAGGTAAACACAAATTTCCCCCTCATGAATTCCACTATGCTTCGCTTTCAATTCTTCTCAAGAGAAAAGGGGAAGACTTAAAAATGTCTTTCTTATGCAAGTTTGTCATTTGACTTCATTTTCTGATCAACTCAAATTGTGAGCAGAGGTTTGGAGATGGGCCAGAGGATGAACTTGCATTAGAGTCCAATGGAGATTACACTAGGGCAATCGGCTTCCTGAAATTTTCCAACTTCAATACTGCTGAGACAAAGAACGTGACATCTGTAGACAACCTTTTGAACAATGTCTGGTATCAACCAGAAGAGATCTTCCCTGTCGATGGAACTCCTGAAATCAGACAGCATGTCTTTTGGATTCCTGTCGACAAACACTACTTTTTAGCAGCCAAGAAACTTGAGGTAATCTGTCTTCCTAATCACTACCTGCATAATAATTGAAATAATCCTGTTTGAAGTCTATGATTCTAGAGCAAATTAGGCTATTTCCAGAGCATAACTTTCTCAAGTTTAGGTAACCAAATCGAACTTGATTGCTGAATATAACAAGAGGCCGGAAGGAGGGGCAATTTCTAAAAATTAAGCTAGCTTACTCAAAAATTGGTATTTATTTTACCCATCTTTAAAAAAACATTTGAGTTCTTAACCAAATTTCAAAAACATAAACAAATTTCAACTAAGATTATGAAAACATTTTTAAAAAGTAGATAAAAAAAACAAAGAAATACCGGAGGAACTATGGTTTACAAGCTTAATTTTCAAAAACCATAAACAAAAAACGATGCAGTTATCCTCCCATGGAGCCTAAAATTTTAAAGTTCTCTCTCTAATTTGACTTCCTAAATTCTCATCAATGAAAGATTACATATATAATAAGTTAGAACTTCACATTTTGCCTCTCCCTAAGAAACTTTCTATGTCTACCCAAAAGGGCTAGTATCTCTTAATGCTATGTTTTAAGGAACATTTTTCATGTTTCAGGGATTGAAGTTGGAAGGGTGTGTGAATTCAACAGCTTGCTTACCAAGAGTGCCTGTAGCAGTGAGGGTGAAGAGAGGGGTCAGTGCCAATGTATTTGTTGATAATAAAGCTTACAGAGAGTTCCTGCAATCAACATTCAATGCCACCCCCATTGACATGGAAACTGCAGCTGTGGCACTCGTCTGTCTTCAGCAAAAGATACCCTTCATTGCAATCAGATCACTGTCTGATTTGGCTGGAGGAGGCTCTTCTTTGTCCAATGAGGCTGCCACCTTTGCCCCATTAGCATCCCAAAACGCTGTCACTGCTCTCATTGAACTCATAACTTTACTGTAGTAAAGCAGAACACTAGCAATCTCTGGAACAAAATGATGATTATTGGGTTATGAACATTCAACATTCTGTTTTTTTAATCAATAGAGTCAATCAGTTTCTCATTTGTATGCGTATTGAAGAACTGAGAAGCTTGGTCTTGGTCTTACTTACCTGTTATATGGAAGTTTCTTCTTTGTCTGCATTAGAATTGATTTGTTTGAACAGTTCTGAAATCTGCAGAAGAAATTACGCTTAAGTTTCCAGTCAAGCCGGCCGCGGCGGCACAGCACTTGCCTTTTATTATATTCGCCAAAATTCCAGCCGGAAATCATAATGATCATCCTTATACCGCCGTCCAAAATGTGGCTTTCGCCGCCTCCGTTGCCTATCAAATAAACGCGCACTTTGGCCATTTCTGAGTTTCTTCCTCCAATTCGACCACCGTCGCTACCGGAGCAATGGTGGCCACCGATTCCGCCACCGCGTCGAATATCCTCCACCACATATCTGCCTTCATCTCTGAGATTCTTGCCCAATCCGACCTCCGAAAGCGCCTTCTCTCCGCCATCTACGGTAAAATCTCACTGTCCGATCAGATTTCCCTCAAACCCCTAGGGCTCGCAGCCGAAGCTCTTGAAAACGCCATCTCCGCCGATAACTCCTCCATCAGAGCATCCTCTCTTCGTTGTGCAGAGAATCTACTCCTCTCCCTTCCCGGAAACCCTTTCTCTTCCTTTCTATTGTCCCTTGTTTACGGCCTCGATCACCAAAATCAGAACTCCGCTCTTAGTCTCCTCAACATTTTCCTCTCCGACCCTTCATTGGCTCGCTCTGAAATCGCTCCGGCTCTCTTCGAACAGCTCTTTCTCCGCCATTTCCTCCCCATTTTTCACTGGTTCAACGAACAGAGATCCAAAATCCTGGCACCCTTCCCCTCGAATTCAAATCACAACAGTACCAAATATTCAATCTGCGTCGAACCGGAGGTTTTCCCGTGCACGAAATCGCTGTCGAAGTTGAGCATTGATCAGACTTTGAAGCTGAAGGACCTGGAAAGCAATTACGAGCAGGTTCTGGACAAGAATTGCAGAGTTTTTGCCAAACATTTGAAAAATATTTTGGAAAGTAAAGAGGACCATGGATCGATTGCTACTCCAAAGATTAAATTATTGGATAAGAGGGAGGAATTGGAGGAAATTGAGCAGAATTCATGGGACAAGTTCCGAATCCGAACACAGCACCTCAGTTTACCCAATGGACGGTATAATGTAATAGTGATTACTGTTCTCTCTATTTATTGAAAAAATAAGCATTTTATTTTTAACCGCTATTTTAATCTCAAACTTTCAAACTTTCAAACTTTCAACTTCTAGCCGTGAAATTACTACTTTGTGATCAAATGCAAGTTTAAATTTCTGGATTTACATTTTTTTTTTTCACTGGAACAAACTACGAGAGTTTGAATTTCCAACTTCATAAAAAATAATAGAGGTTTGAAAGTGGGTTTGAAAATGCTACATTTTTATAATTAATTTGATTTTGAGACAACATTTTCATTAAAACTAACACGTTCCCTGGGCTACTGACTTTGAAAAATCAGATCTTGCCTTTTAGACCATCCAAAAAGGGAAATCATGAAAAAAAAAATGGACATTCAAATCAAGAGATTTTTGTGCCATCAGATGGGCAGAAACATTATTTGTCTCCCTGTACACATGCACAATATAATTATGAAATAAAAATAAAATGAATAATTTTCAAAAGATTACTAAAATACATCTTCCTAAATACTTTAGAAAATGAAGCCCCTTCAAATTTAGAGATTCTCTATTTTCAATCAAATGGACAAATTATGCTCAACAATTTGTCCTCTGTCTTTGTCTATAAAAGAACAGAAAATACCGACAAATAAAAATTAACAGGCAAATCTGCCGAAAACAACTGATTATAATAAAGATCTTTTTACAATGATGAACGAATTAAAAATGGAAACTTTAGAGACTACAATCAATGTATCTTCGTTATTATATTTTCAGAACCTTGAATCATAAGATTTGAGCACGTGGGGTAATTTTCGGTCGTCGTTCTTGTTCTTGTTCTTCTTGTTCATGTTCTTTTTCTTTGCAAATTGCACTGTTGAAAAGAAAAGAGCCCCACGAAAATAATTTCCCCGACGACTTTAGTCTAGGCATGTGATAATGACTTACTTCTCCTCTTCCATATTCTGCAGCCAATATGGGCTGAAGAAGAAGAAGAAGAAGAAGAAATTGTCTCGCTTGAAGTCGACAGGACAAGCAATTCAAACTCTCCGCTTAATCCCTTCGCAGAGCAAGAATGTTCTATCTTCAATTCGGCTGCACAGGACGATTCTATCCCAACTGAAATTTTCTCATCGGAATCTGAGACCGACACGGAGACTGAAATCGAGGTAAAATAATACTCGATGTTAACAAGAAAAACTCAATCCCCCATTACTTCCCTTTTGACGATTCTTGTCTCCCTTTGTTTGTCTTTAGGATAATGACCGTCGGACCACATTGTACGACTCTGGAGGAGAAAACCCCAATACCCAGAAGCTGAAACAGACCATTTCCATAGAAGAATCAAGAACCCAGTCGGTGGAATTGGATATTGCCATGGGAGATTCCGGCAAGACCTCACCGAAAAGTGGCGAAAGGCATAATACCCCTCCCAAGGATTTTGTCTGTCCCATAACTTGCAACATCTTTGATGACCCAGTTACTTTGGAGACGGGTCAGACTTATGAGCGTAGTGCAATTCAGGAATGGCTCGACAGAGGAAACTCAACCTGCCCAATTACTGGACAGAAGCTGCAAAATACCCAACTCCCCAAAACCAATTATGTCCTCAAACGGCTCATTGCGAGTTGGCTTGAAGAGAATCCCAATTTTGTTTCGGACAAAACTCTGGATGAGGCTCATCCAGTGGCTGTTTTGACCTCCCCTGTTGGTGTCATTAATCAAGCCTCCAATGACAGGAGTATGAAGGAGGTGAGGCGTGCAATTAGTAGCCTTTATGCTTCTGAGATTCTGGAGGAGGCTGAAACTGCTGTGCTTTCTGTGGAGCAGTTCTGGTTGGAAGGCAATGTGGAAGTGGACTTTCAGCATATGCTGTTGAAGCCTCCTGTAATCAATGGACTTGTTGAGATTCTTGTCAATTCTGTTAATCTCCAGGTTCTGGGAGCGGCTATCTTTCTCCTATCAGAGCTGGGATTCAAAGATGCTTCTGTGATTCAGACGCTCACCCGAGTCGAGTCGGATGTGGACTGTATTGTGACCCTTTTCAAAAGGGGTTTTGAGGAGGCTGTTGTGTTGATATATCAGTTGGGACTTTCTAGCCAGAGCCTACAAGAGATGGACATGGTGGGTTCGCTTTTGAATGTCGTTAAGAAGAAAGAAGGAGATGTGAATAAGATGCGTTTGAGTCATAAATCAGCTGCGGTGCTTTTGCTTAGGAAGATTTTGGGAAAGAGTAAAGAAGGGTCTCTGGTTGCTGTTTCTGTGCTTGTTGAAAATGCTATTGAAAGTGTTTTAGGTAGTTTGAAAGCAAAACAGGTGGAGGAGAGGATTGCTGCAGTTGGGATCTTGGTAAATTGTATGCAAGAGGATGGGAAGTGCAGAAATACAATAGCCGATAAAGCCGAGTTAGCTCCCGTTATGGAAAGTTTCATGGAAGCAAGTAACGACGAACAGTTTGAGATCATTATGTTTCTCTCTGAATTAGTTAAGCTAAACAGGTCTGTTTTTCTGGTCGTTGTCCAGACATATTTCTTGTTCATCAATGTCTTGTGTGTAAAATTCAAGAGAAAATAATGAAATTTCATATTTCTTTCTCTCAGGAGGACATTGAATGAACAAATTCTTCAAAACATAAAGGACGGAGGTGAATGTAGCACTATGCACTCTCTTTTGATATATTTACAGACTGCCCACAGAGGTCAATGCCCTGTAGTGGCTGGCCTTCTGCTACAACTTGATATCTTGGTATGAGTATCCCATATTCTCTTGATTAGACATGTAGAACTTTCAAATTTGTCTTTAACATACTCTTTTTTTATAGTTAAAAATGGACAATTTTATTTGCTAGTAAGGCATATTTCTGTACCTTCCTGCGTTCTATGGCTCTCCATTGCTGACTAACTACAATGATACTGTACTGGTTTATAGGTGGAACCACGAAAGATGAGTATGTATCGAGAAGAAGCAATGGATGTTCTTATTTCATGCCTCGGTGACTCCGACTTCCCGACTGCTCAAATTTCAGCAGCCGAGACCATTATATCTTTACAAGGGAGGTTTAGCACATCGGGAAGACCCTTAGGTAGGTATTCTCTTCTTGAACGTGCCGGACTTACGAAAGGTCACAGGAAACTCATACGAAGAGATAACATTAACAGTGCTCTTGGAGAAGTTGAACTTACAAGAGTGAGTTTACTAGAAATTTTGGACATTTTCTCAATGCTTGAATCTCTGCAGCTGGCCTGTGATTCATATTATGTTATTCAAAAAATAATTTTATTTTCTTAAAATTGGCACAAAAGGAAGAAGAGAAGGCAGCCAATGAATGGGAAAGAAAGATGGCATTTGTACTGGTAAGCCATGACTTTGGCTTGCTGTTTGAACCATTGGCAAAAGGCTTAAAGAGCAAATATGCAGCGCTATTTTCAGCATGCTTTGTCTCTGCCACATGGCTCAGTCATATGCTCAGAGTTCTTCCGGACACCGGGGTTCTTGGAGTTGCTCGAGTTTGCTTGCTCGATCAATTCATATCAATTTTCACAACGACGACAGATATTGAAGAGAAAGCACTTGGCTTGCTAGCAATAAACAGTTTCATACACGAACCGGGTCGGTAGCAACTTCTGAAACAAGAATAAAGTTTCCCATATGAATGTCATGTATTTTCTGCATCTGTCTGGTGCTTTTTGTTGGTTATTTTGATGTTTACGGATATTAGTTTCTTTCCCTATGAATTTCAGAAGGACTGCAGTGCCTAAGTACCAACATGAAAGATATTATGAGAGGTCTAAGGGAACTTAAGAAATCTACACCATTGGCCTCTGACATGCTAAAAGTCGTATGCGAGGGACAAGAATCGAGTACTGTAAGAAGTGTCACACCTATCGACATCTTATTCCAGCTAACTGTAGAACCGTGATATGATTCCATATCCTTGTTCTGATGTAGGAACTCTGGAGTCATCAAGAATTGTTTCAAGTAGACTGCAGCAAAAATGGAGAAGTACTATCAATTGTTTACTTCAAAGACAAGATCATTTCTGGCCATTCAGATGGAACAATCAAGGTATTACCAATTTGAATTTGTAGATCTAAGTTTTATCCTTGACGGTTCTTGATTGATTCGTCTATGACGAATAAAATTGCTACCAAAATAATAGATGGCATACTGTGACATTGGTATATAGTTATCCTTCCTGCATTTGTATTGTATATTCATGAAATGGAAGTACCTTTCACAATGTGTTTGCTTGACTTTAAAGGTCTGGTCTATTAGAGGAACTAATATACATCTCCTACAAGAAATCCAAGACCACTCCAAGGGAGTCACCAGTCTAGCAATTTCAAAATCTATAGAGAAACTATACAGTGGCTCTCTAGACAAGACCATTAAGGTGCTTACACGTCAATCCCTCTCTCTCTCACGCATCGAACTTCACATGAAAGATCTATTTTCTTCATGAGCAGGTATGGTCTCTAGGCAGTGATATGATCAAATGCATACAAGTTCACGATGTGAAGGATCATATTCATAATTTAGTCGTTTCGGATAGCGTTGCATGCTTCATCCCACATGGAGCTGGTATCAGGGTAACACATCAAATACCCCCTCTTTTCCTTGTGAAAGCCATCAAATTCTACTTTTTTCCATTGTATTCAGAAGAAGCTTGACACTGAATAGTGACATCTGTTAGGTTTATTCATGGGGTGGGGAATCGAAGTTACTAAACTCGAGCAAACATGTCAAGTGTTTGAATCTTGTGCATGGAAAACTTTACTGTGGATGCCATGATAGTAGCATCCAGGTATTCTTATTCTGTCTTCTGCTTCTATGAACTTGTTAGCTTCTTGGTTTTCTAACCACGAGCTTCCATGATCTTTAGGAAGTCAATTTGGTTACAGGAACCTTAAGTTGCATCCACAGTGGCTCTAGAAAAATATTGGGAAAGGCTAATCCTGTCCAGGCACTTCAAATCTACGAGGAACAGTTATTTTCAGCCAGCACTGGTTTAGATGGAGCAGCTGTGAAGGTACTCGGTTGACATTCGCTTTCTGTCGACTATTTGTCTGATTTGATTTTATATATAGTGCTAATGATATCGAGTTTTTTGGCATTGAAAAGATCTGGAGTACGTCGAATTACGATGTGATTGGATCACTGTCAACTAGGCTGGATGTAAGGACTATAGCTGTAAGCTCAGATCTAATTTACTTGGGAGGCAAAGGAGGACTGGTAGAGATTTGGAGCAGGGAAAATCAAAACAAAATAGACACACTTCAAACTGGTAGAAACTGCAAGGTTGATTGTATGACTCTCGACGAAAAGGAGGAAGTTCTGGTTGTTGGAACGTCTGAGGGTCGGATTCAGGTAGATTATTTCATCTATTCCAGACCGGTCTTTCGTATTATCACGAAGATGATAACTACTCAGAAACATAAACACCTCAATCTTAGTAAGTTTGAAACTGCAACATTAATCTTAGATTAACTGACAACCAGCACCTTCTTGTTTTTTGCAGGCCTGGGGACTGTAGAGAAAGGAGAGGAGTGCCTTAAAAAATATGTGATTTTGATATAAACTGTTAAAAAAGGAAAAGAAAAATAATCCCTTAATTATTATTATTTCAAGCTAATTCTCATAAGAAAATGTGATCATATTATTCTTAAAAAATGTATATATGCAGAGACAAGTGTGCGAGAAGTTTGCTGACTGTAGCCATATATCAGCAGAATCGCTTCAAGAGAGAATGAAATGAGCAAACGACGAAATTTTCAGCCATTGAAAAGTTTATTCTGTAAAATTATAGTAGATTTAATAATTAATCCTACTCATAACTCAATATGATGAGGATAGCAAATATATTTCTTTCAGTTAACCCGACAATTTCACAAACTCATACATACAGAGATACTGTATTTTGCTGATTCTTGAATTATCTTTACAAAATAAACGTACTTCGAAATACGTTAGAAAAGAAGCTGCCCAATTAAATTTCAATTTCAAATTACCAAGCTTCTTCAAGATCCGTTCTAAGTTCAGCTCCTTCGAGGCTAAAGGCTGTCTTCTCAAAGCCAACTTCGTAAGAGACGTAGAACAGAGAGAACTGCAAAATGAAATCATTAATACATGCTGACAACAGAAAGATTCAAGCTTTGGCAGAAGAAACATTACTATTACACACAGTGACAAGCATGAAATCTCCCAGCATAGAGCACAATAAATCATTGGGCACTAGAAACCAAAAAGCATCCAAAGAACTTTTTAGAATAAACCCACCCAACCTAGTGTAAACCAAACAAATATAAATGCTAGAAGAAACTTTTAGAAAGGTTAGAGCACAATCAGTTTCCTCTTGTTACCATTTGCGGATTTAACAAAGTTTTAGATGGATTATAGCTAGCTAGCTTCTCCTGCTACGTATATGTCCAGAACCAAGCCGCTTCTAAATGGAGAAGCCTTCAGAGAAAATGGAAGCCACCCAAAAGGTTGGAAGGAAAAAGGGGGGCCTTCGAACTATGCCATTTATCATGGGTAATTTTCACCAAGTTTTAAAAGAATCGATGCTTACATATGTAACATGTTCATTGACGAAAACTCTATATCTGCAGCAAACGAGATATTTGAGAAGATTTCAAGTATTGGGCTTCATGCAAATATGATTTTTTACTTAACGAATGAGTATCACTTTGATAGTGCTAAAGGAGCCATCGTCTTGTTTCTGTGGTCTGCACTGACGAACTTTTTGCCCATAGCTGGTGCTTTCCTCTCTGATTCTTACTTGGGTCGATTTAAGGTCATCTCCATGGGGACGGTCGTTAGCCTTCTTGTAAGCATAGATTCATTTCCTCGAATTTCAACTTAAATATCTATTTGTTTCAGCTGATTCTTCAACTTCGATCATTCTTTTGGAGTTCAGGGAATGGTAGTGTTATTGTTAACAGCCATATTTCCAAAAGCAAGGCCTCCACACTGTAAATTACCTCCGGAAATCTGTGTACATGCAAATGGTGGCCAGCTATTGCTTCTGTTTTTTTCATTTCTTCTTATGGCAATCGGAGCCGGAGGCATTCGACCGTGCTCCTTGGCCTTTGGGGCAGATCAGTTCGAAAAGCCCGGCAACCCCAAAAACGAGAGGACACTGCAGAGCTTCTTCAACTGGTACTATGCTACGGTTGGGGTTTCAGTCACTATTTCAGTGACCTTTATGGTCTATCTTCAGAACGCTGCTGGTTGGGTTGTGGGCTATGGCGTTCCTGTTGGACTCATGCTGTTTTCCACCATCATGTTCTTTCTTGGCTCTTCACTATATGTTAAAATAAAGGCAAACAAAAGCTTGCTCGGCAGTTTGGCTCAGGTGATTGTTGCAGCTTGGAGAAACAGGCACTTGGACTCTCCCCCACAAACTTCTGATAAATGGTTTTACCATAAAGGCTCAAAGCTTGTCTCCCCAACTCCTAAATTGAGGTATTTCAAGAATTAAAACCCATTTAAAAGCTTCTAAGTTCTAACATGATGCTGATTCTTCTGTCTTGTTTTAAGGTTTCTAAACAAAGCTTGCATCATAAGGAACAGAGAGACAGACGTGGATGCTAATGGAATGGCTAGATTCCCATGGAGTTTAAGCACAATTCAAAGAGTAGAGGAGCTAAAAGCAGTGATCAGAGTTCTACCTATTTGGTCCACCGGCATTGTGATCAGCGCCGCCATTACCCAATTCACCTTCGCCGCTCTTCAAGCAAGCACAATGGACAGACACATAACTCCCCGCTTCCAATTCCCAGCAGCTTCCTTCGCCGTCTTCACAATCATAACCCTAACAATCTGGGTCGCCATCTACGATCAAATCATCGTCCGGCTTCTGGCGAAATTCACCAAACTATCAAACGGGCTCAGTTTAAAGCAGAGGATGGGCATCGGACTGGCAATCTCATGCTTGGCGTCGGCAGTTTCAGCAGAAATAGAGAGAACACGAAGAAACAGAGCAATCGATGAGGGTCTGGGCAACGTACCTAATGGGATCGTGAAGATGTCGGCGATGTGGCTGGTGCCGCAGCACTGCCTGGCGGGGTTGGCCGAAGCTTTAAACGCGATAGGGCAGATTCAATTCTTCTACTCCCAGCTGCCGAGGAGCATGGCCAGCATCGCGGTGGCGCTGTTTTCGCTGGGAATGGGCGGAGGAAGCTTGCTCGGAGCTCTGGTTGTGAGCGTGATCAAGAAGACGACGGAGAAGAATGGGAATGTGGGATGGCTTTCGAATAATCTGAACCAGGGCCATTACGATTACTATTACTGGGTGTTGAGCATGATGGGTGTGGTGAATTTCTTGTACTATTTGATTTGCAGTTGGTTCTATGGAGATGAGAAGGAGGGCATGGAAGCGAGTAGGGTTTGGGACGAGAAGGAAGCCATTGAAGAGGCCCCCTTCAATGCTTAACTTGGGGGCATGTATACTTCATATCATGGAGTAAATGTTTCCTGGGTCAAGATTAGAACCAAGAATCCTTCAGTTTACCATCTATTCAGCCATGTTGGGTTAAGATTTGAACCAAGAATCTTTCAATTTACCATCTATTCAGTCATATTGCCGACCTCGATAATATTCCATTTAAATTGAATAATTGACACCTACCTCTAATCAACATATCATGAACTTAAATTCTCCCGTAACAACTAGTTGTGCTAAAAAAATGCTGAACTCAGATAATATATTGGAACCTCGTTCCTCTGGGGAACAAGTTAACTCTATGTCCTATGACTTACTTTTTATTTTATGACAACTTGAGCATAACAACGAATGAAGATGTCATATCCAACTAAAATGTTATGTTTCAATCCTCTTACTTTTACATATTGTGCTAAAAAAACACCTTTTCATGTTTAAAATTAAAAATTTTTCTACGAGAAATGTTCGGGCGTGTGATCGACACGTTGGGAGTACCTATTGATGGAATAGGGGCTCTAAGCGATCACAAGCGAAGACGTGTTGAAGTAATATTAGTTTACTTTACCTTCTTCTTAAAGAAAAGTTGACATATGGCTACAATTATCTCAAACACACTCATTCACGTGTCGTTGAACCTTAAAGAGAATATGACATACAAATATGGTGAAGATGAAACAAATTTTCAGCTGAAAAGTTAATAATATTTTTCAATTGTATAGCATTGGGATTTTTTTTGGCAGTTTAAAGCTAAAAATTTACAAATATGATACCATTTTTTAAAATGACCATCAACATGTATCAACTTCATATATTTATTTACGATAGACGATAGATATTGATAAATTTCTATCATTAATAGTCGTTGATAGAGAGACATCTATCACTCATATCACTGATTGTCTATATAAAATATCTATTTTACAAAATTGTCATATTTATAAAATCTTAATTTTTGTGTCGTATCTACAAATATGACAACCATTTGTCACCCATAATAATCTAATTTTTTTCCGACATTACCGCTTCAGTAGATCCAAGTTTAAAAACGGAAAAGAAACAATTTATTATAAATATTATATAATAATTTTTTAAGTAGAACCTTGCATAATATTGGAAAACAGAGAAAACAACTCTAACATTAAATTAAAAATGTCACTTTTAAGATAAGATATCAATTGCCACTAAATTTGATGGTTGGATTCTCCCATATTTAGTTTTTTTTCTTTTTTCATATCCTCCCCTATTTATTTAATCAGGTTGGATTCTCCCATTTTTAGCTTAAAATCAAATAAATATTATAATTTTTATACACCTTAAATTTATTTAAGCATTGATCAAACTTAATTTGGTGTAAATATAAATCTGAAATTAATGGAAATTGAGTACAAATTAAAAATTACAAATACTTAACTAAATTAATAGTTGAATTGGATGAAATTAAATTTCTTGGATGAAATTGGAAATTTTTCTTTTTTCTTTTTTCCCCTCAAAAAGCTTATCGGCATTTCAAATAAATAAAAATATCATTTTTTTGACAAAATAGAGTTACGACATGTCGTTCGAAATTTCAAGACCGGGCGGCTAACAGAAACTCAAAGTCAACGCCTCAAGGGTGATTTGGTAATCTACCTAATATATATATACTTTTTTTTAGAAAATCTACCGAATGTATTATAGAATAATGAATAAACTTCGTTCAAAGTAAAAATAATAATAATAATGAATAAACTAACTACGCAGCAATTTTTAATCGGAAATCTAGAGCAAGACTATACCAATTCTACCCAATTACTCAGTCAAAATGCAATCCGATCTTTCAAAAAATCGAAAGTCGCTCTGAATTAAAAATAATAATAATAATAAATAAAGAAAAACGGTCGATATGCAGCGGATTCGATCCGCTATCAAATCGAGTTAATAAAACATCTAAAGTCCGGCATTTTCCGGTATAAGTAACCGTCCTCGATTTCTAATCCTCACATCATCCCGTTCTTAGTTCTTACCGGCGATCCTTGAAATCGACGCCCAATGGCTCCAATCGCTGTCGGAGATTCGTTGCCGGACGGCACGCTGGCCTACTTCGATGAGCAGGATCAGCTGCAGCATGCCTCCTTCCACTCCCTTGCCGCCGGCAAGAAGGTCATTCTCTTTGGAGTCCCCGGTGCCTTCACTCCCACATGCAGGTACGCAGCTTCTGTTTCCGTTCTTGATAGATCCTTCTGGTTTTATTTTCTTAACTTTTGTGGATTAATGGTGTGTTTGGTCTCAGCTTGAAACATGTACCGGGCTTTGTTGAGAAAGCAGAAGAGCTCAAGTCTAAGGGCATTGATGAGATTCTGCTAATCAGCGGTATAACTCTATAATTGAACGCAAATTCACTTGTTCTGTGACCATTTTTTGCTGTCCTTGCTGTTGCTGTTAGTTTTTTGGTGCCCATAGCCTTGAACAGTTCTTCGAGTTTCGTTCTTGAACGCTTAAGATATTAGATATCACAGCTTAAGAAGTAATGTGATTAAATGTTTTCTTTCTGGAAATTTTGGTTCGTTTCATGTTGATCTGGAAATTGCCGTAATCTAGACTTATGAACCGGTTCAATTTGTTGGAAGATAAGTCTAAGTATTTTCGCGATGCCCATGTTTTCTTTTTCCCATACAGAACAGGAATTTAACAAAACGAAGTATATTTACAAGAAACTTTTAGTCTTTAAATAGAGGCAAGTGTGAGACTAAGTCTAAAGATTTAAAGGTCCAAGAAAAGATTAAAAGTTAAGAATAAGCCATTGTGTTTATCCTCAAAGTGACGCTTGTCCTTAGCCAAATGACCTAAGAGTTGTACTTTCATGCTTCCCCTCTATATTTGTTTGTTGGCAAACCACGAAGACATCTCAAGAAAAGAGTGTATAGATCTTTTAGGGGGAGATCGAACTCAATTTGGATCGTAGAAGGTGCTTTATCTATTACTGAAGAGTAGAGTCAAAATGTAGAAAGAGGTGATTAACCGACTCATGTGTCTGACGCCAAGAAAATACCCATATGAAGTAAGAGAACCAAGTGGATTGCTTTTCTCTTACGATCATGGGTATTGGACATGGGCCGTTTTTGCCCATCTTAGTGATCAGACTTGAAGTAACTTGCTTATTCTATAGATTTACTAGGTAAGCGGGTACATCTTTCCTGCTCAAAGGTTCAATTGATCTTCTCAGTGGAAAATGAATCGATTGAGCCTTTTGGTTGGCCTTTGATGAAATTGTCTAGTACTCTAGTTTAACCATTGGGTTGGCCAGGGCAAAGTAAAAATGTAAAGGGACTTTGAGGGAATTAATTCAAAATTAAAATCCCATAATGATCACTATCTAGGATGTTAAAATCTTATGAGTTTTTTGACAACCAAATGTGGTAGGCCAAACAATTATCTCGTGGGTTTAGATATAGACGCACACATAAAAGTAAGAACGAAAGAAATAAAAGGAAATAGAAATAGACCAATCTTCTTTATAATGACATGGGTGTATAGGCAAGATGCTGAATATGGTCTTCTTCGAAAATTAGTCCAAAACTAACAAGGTAAATAATGTATAATTAACCATTTGCATGTAAATAATTATAATTTAAAAAGTTGGTGAGAGCACCCTAAAGTCGCATATTTTATTACAAATGGAAGATAACTAAGTTGTTCCGTTGGATGCAGTCAATGACCCTTTCGTGATGAAGGCCTGGTCCAAGACTTACCCTGAGAACAAGCATGTCAAGTTCCTTGCTGATGGCTCTGCAGCATTTACTCATGCTCTTGGCCTGGAGCTTGATCTTTCAGAGAAAGGACTCGGCGTTCGATCCAAGAGGTTCTGTCTCTTAGTTGATAACCTCAAGGTCAAAGTTGCAAATGTTGAGTCTGGTGGAGAATTTACCGTCTCCAGTGCTGAGGAAATCCTCAAGGCTCTTTGATGTGTTCATCTTTCTATTGTATGCAAACTTTTTCATGTCACAGGCCTCGGCCGACGATCTTCTATCATACTGTTATTTTGTGGGGTGATGAGATGTCTTAGGCTCCCTTTATATGAATAATGAAAGATCATGCCGTTTCTTGTTCCCTTTTTGGTTTTTATCAAATGAAGGAGAGTTTAGATCTGGTAATGGAACTCTGGCCATGGTCTTCACTGCTCTAAACTTCTGGTAAACAGATCTGTGTGTTGAATTTGGTATTCTGTCAGAGTTATGTCGCCCTATTTCCAGGAATCTGTGTTGATAAAGCTCAACATTTTGATCCTAATGACTTGGAAAAGGGGACTCTATTTTAATTAATCAAAGCATGCAGGGCAGCTTTTTCATTAAGAACTCTCTTTCTAGGGCTTTGCATAAGATGTTGGGCCTTGATATGTGTATCATATCTGTGGATGGATGAGACTCTGCCCTGCCTTGTGATCAAAGGGTCTTTTGTCAAAGATATTGGAAGTTTTCAAAATAATATTGCAAACCATGAGCGGGGTTGTCTAATCTTTTTCTCTCTCTCTCTCTCTCTCTCTCTTCTAATCTTTGAACTAGTCAGTCTATTAGCTCGTTTTGAATTTAGTCTTTGAAATGGCAAATGGCACCTTTTTTGGGTAGGGTTGGGTTCATCTAGTTAAAGACATATTTTCAACTCAAAGGCTGTTAATTCGCCCCCACATTTGTACTCAATAAAATTAAAAAAATAAAAAAACTTGATGAAATAAGTCCCATATCGTTATTGTTTGTTAATATATCAGTGTATAAATATGTCTTTAAAAAAATCAGTATAAAGTGATTGATTTTGATTTCTGTATTTACAATTTTGTTCATTTTTATCCCTCTTTACAAAATTTTAACTCAAATTTTATAGAGAAACTACTTTTTGATCCAGCTATGATGTGGTGGGCTTCTCAAACATTAGTTGTGATTAACTATTATTGCTATATTTGAGATTATGCAAATCTGATTATAATCTTTTGAGTCAAAAATCCAATTCCCGTCCTACATTTTTACTGAAAATAAAATACATTTGAGATTACATGTACTAAAAAGAAAGGGAAAAAAAAAAAGTACATTTCGGTCACCTTTTGAACTGAAACTGGTTTTCAAAATATGATTTTTAAATCATTTTTTAAAAAATAAAGGAGAGAGAGAGAGGGAAGTTCTTTTAAGTTCCACTTTTTATAGAAAGTGTTTGGTGAATTGCTGCTAATAGCGCATACAGTGTAGACTGAGAGAGTCTTTGTCCTACAAGAAGTGCAATCCATTGGTGGTCATAAAATGTTCAAATTAAAGCAAAACAGAACGATTATTTTCAGTTTCAGTCTCAATCTCAGGGCTCCTTAATTTGTTCAGAAAATTATACAACAAAATAAACCATACAAATAATTGAAACTCACCCACTTCATCAGATCCGGAATTAAATATTGTGCAACTGTTATGTTGGAGTTGGAAGCCAGCCATTTAACACTCTACCGGTGCCATTGGAGTGCAGGTCCCATTCGTTTCCATTTCA